TTTAAGGGCTGGAAGCTGTGAGGGCAGCATCTCTGCATGGAGGCTGCTTCCTTTGGGGTGTGGGCTGAGCGTTTGTTTTTGGAATGGGGTCATTGATTTCTTCTTTATTGCTGGATTGTAATTTCCCTTTCTGGGGGCTCCTGACCACATTTAAGGTCTGTCAGCAGAAGGAGCAGCAACTGCACCTGGAGACTGCTTCCTTTAGAATGTGGAGTGAACCCTTGAAACTGGGTGAGTGATTCTTTATTCCAGGGTTGCAATATCTTGTTTTTGGGGGGGATCCTGACCCCACTTAAGGGCTGGAAGCCTTTAAGGTGGTATCTGTTTTTAGAGACCATCTCCTTGGGAATGTGGGGTGAGGTCTGGTCCTTGAGAAAGGATGAGTGATTCCTTCTTATTTTAGGGCTGTGACCTTTCCTGTTTTTGGGGCATCCTGGCCACATTGAAGTGCTGGCAGATGTAAGGGCAATGTTGATCTCTGGAGGCTGTCTGCTGTGGAGCATGGGTGAGTTTTGGCCTTTGAGAAGGGTGTAAGTGGTTTCTTTGTTTTTTCTTTATGTCAGGCCTGCAATCTCCTGCAATCTCCTTTTTTTTTTGTTTTTTTTTTTTTTTTTTAAGTATCCTGACCACATTTAAGGGGTGAAAGCCATAAGGGCAGCATCTCTACCTGGAGACTGCTTCCTTCGCAGTGTGGGCTGAGTGTTCGTCTTTGGAATGGGGTAACTTCTTCCTTTATTTCAGGGCTGTTATGCACTGCTTCCAACCATGCAGAGTTGTTTAAGGGCGTTCTGTGCACCCTTAGGTGCAATAAATCTTCATCTTTATAGGAAGCCAAGGATTGTCCTCTTCTGGACTGCTGTACTCAGCATCACCCCAGCGTGATGAAGTGAAGCCCCTGGTCTGCTGAATACTGGGACTGGCCCAGAGAGGCTCTGTGACGGATGTGGATTATCCCAGCTGGAGCACTTGGTACCATTGGTGGTGATCTCGTCCAACTGCCACACAATGAACAGAAACATCCACAGCCAGATCTGGCTGCCCAGAGGCTGACGCAGCCTCACCTTGGAAGGGACAGGGCATCCATCACATGTCTGGGTAACCTGTTCCGCTGTGTCACCACCCTCACTGTACAAGATTTTCCTTATATCTAGGCTAAATCTTTCCTTGTTCGTCCCTTCAGGTGTTGAAAGGCTGTTACCAGATCACCTCGGAGCCTTCACTTCTGCAGGCTGAACAGCTCCAGCTCTCTCTCTTTATAGGAAAGGCGTTCCATCCCTCAGTTCATATTTGTGGCTGTTCTCTGGATGTTCTCCAACAGCTCCACATCTGTCCTGTGCTGCGGACATCCACATCCAGAAGCAGCACCTCCAGGTGAGGCCTCACAGCGCAGAGCAGAGGGGCAGGACCGCCTCCCTTCGCCTGCTGACGCATCTTTGGATGGAGCCCAGCATACGGTTGGCTTTCTGGGCCAGGAAGGTACATTGCTGAGTGCCCACTACTCAGCCTGTTGAGGTCCCTCTGGATGGCGTTGTCTCTCTGGTGTGTCACTGCACCCCACAGCTCGGTGTCATTAGGGTGCACTCAGCCCCACTGTCAATGTCACTGATGAAGGGGCAATCCCAGGTGTTTGTACAAACTCAGCAAAGAACACCTTGAGAGCAGCCCCACAGAAAAGGACTTGTGGCTCCCGGTGGATGAGCCGGGATCCATGTATGGACATCAGCCAGCAGAGTGCGCTTGCAGCCTGGAAGGCCAGCTGTGTTCTGGGCTGCATTAAAAGAGGAGCGGCCAGCAGGGAGAGGGAGGTGATCGTCCCCATCTGCTCGGCTCTTATGAGGCTTCATCTGCAGCGCTGCATCCAGGCCTGGGGCCCCCAGCACAGGAAGGACGTGGAGCTCATGGAGCGGGTCCAGAGGAGGCACTGAGATGAGCAGACGGTTGGAGCAGCTCTCCTACAAGGAAAAGTTGAGGGAAGTGGGGTTGTTCAGCCTGGAGAAGAGAAGGCTTGGGGGTGAACTCATTGCAGCCTCACCGTACTTGAAGGGGGAACAGCAGGAAGGGGAACGGCTGTTTATGAGGGTGGATCGTGATAGGACAAGGGGAAATGGTTTTAAACTGAAACAGGGGAGGTTTAGGTTGGTTATTAGGAGGAAGCTTTTCACACAGAGGGTGGTGACGCACTGGAACGTGTGCTTCAGAGTCACTTCCAGGAGGATCTGCTCCTCGATTTTTTGCAGCACAGAGGTGAGACTGACACGTTGGTGGTTCCCAGGGTCACACTTTATATCTGTAGTAACAGCTGTGCTGTTGCCTTTTTTCTGCTCACCAGGGACTTCACCTGACTGCCTCGACTTCTCAAATACCACTGAGAGTGGCTCAGTGACTGCAGCGGTGAATTCCCTCTGAGCTCTGGGACTCGTCTCATCAGGACCCGAAGACTCCTGGATGCTCGGGTTCTCAGGTGGTCCAGAACCTGATCTCCCATCACAGTGTGGGATAGGGAGGGGTCTGTGGGATCGGCTTTGCTTCCTCAGTCCCCACCTACTAAACCAAAGGTGAAGGCAGTGTATAATGAGCAGTTATCAGAGAAGATGGAAGCTAAAATGTTGTTGGGTACCTGAGCCCTCTCCTTGTCTGTTGTTCCCAGCTGCAGTGCTGCTGGTAAGCAGCATCATGCACGGAGTGCAGCCACATTGATCAGAGAAAGGAGTGCAGGTTTGTGAAAGAGGCGCATCTGCAGGGCAGTGACTTCATTACTGTTTTGTGTCCCACAGGTGGCTGTGGAGTTGCAGCACTCCTGAGTGCCATAACGACTGCATGGAGATGCGTGGCTCTTCACGGGAACAGCAAGGAACCAGAATCTGCATTTCCTGGAATGCCCCGGAACCTCGCTTTGCTGGCTGGTAATTGTCTGCCCAGCAGGTAAGGGCAATGCACACCCATCAGTGTTTATCCACTCCATAGCACGGCACAACACGGCGCTCCCAGAACTCTTCATTGCAGTTTATGGTGCCCGGAAGGCTGCCTGTCCTTTTCTTTCTGTGTTCTCTTTGTCTCTGGCCTTTCACTGCAGTGTTTTCCTTCCCTTTGCCCTTGCTGTTCCCTACTGCGTTGTCTTGCCCTCCTGTTTTTGTGTTCCATGCCACGTTCATTTGGTCGTTGCCCTTGGCTTTCTTTGCCGCATTCACTTCAGCGTTCAGTTTTGGCGTTCCGTACTGCGTTCTCTCGCCCTCCTGTTTTGGCATTTCCTTCCATGTTCTCTTAGCCGTTGCCATTGGCTGGGCATTCTCTTGCCCTCCTGTTTTTGTGTTCCATGCTGGGTTCTCTTGGCCATTGCCCTTGGCTTTCTTTACCACATTCACTTCGGCATTCAGTTTCGGCGTTCCCTGCTGCGTTCTTCTGCCCTCCTGTTTTGGCGTTTCTTGCCGTGTTCTCTTGGCCATCATCCTGGGCATTTCCTTCCACGTTCTCTTGGCTCTTGCCCTCCTGTTTTTGTGTTCTATGCCACATCTCTTGGCCATTGCCCTTGGCTTTCTGTTGCCACATCCTCTTCAGCATTCAGTTTTGGCGTTCCCGGCAGCATTCTCTTTGGCCTCCTGTTTTGGCATTTCCTGCCACATTGTCTTGGCCCTTGCCTGGGCATTCCCTGTGGCATTCTCTTTGACCTCCTAACTTGCTGTTCCAGCCACATTCTGCATTGGCCTTCTTTGCCGTGTTCTTTTTGGCCTCCTATTTTGGCATTTCCTGCCATGTTTTCTTAGCCCTTGCCTGGGCATTCCATGCTGTGTTCCCTTGTCCTTTTGTTTTGGCATTTTGTGCTGCGTTCTCTTGGCCTTTGCCCTTGGCCTTTCCTGCTGTGTTCTCTTTGGCTGTATTCTTACCTTTCCTGTTGCGTTCTCCTTGCCCCCACCTTGGCTTTCCATTGGTGCTCTCTTTGCTTTTGCCCTTGCCTTAGCTTGGCTGTTTTCTTCGCATTTACCTTGGTTTTCCATGAGAGTTCTCCTTCCCTTTGCATGCCCTGGGAGTTCTGCTTGCCTTCAGCATGCTGGGATTAGCTGGGAGGCAACATTAAAGTTAACCTTGACCTGAACCCGTAGCTGAATGGGAGTTCTAACAATAATTGTGTTAACCTGCAGCGTATCTGTAAACCAAACCCTTAACGCAGTGTTGAAAATGTCTCTTAACCTGAATGCTGCTGTAAAAATAATGCCTCATGTTTTTTGTCAAATAACCTTAATTGTGATTGTAGTGCAGAATACTGATGTTAGACCAACTGTAACTTCAACCCTATCAATAACATTAATTATATCCCTAATGTTAATTATAATTAATTACAACCCTTGTGTCATCATTACAGCAATGTGCTCAGGGTGCAGCCCCACACATGCGAGGCAGCGCTTTCATTACTGCGTTTTGTCCCACAGGTGGCAGCAGAGCTGCGTTGCTCCTGAGCACTTTAAGGACAGCACGGAGATGCGCGGCTCTTCACGGCAACAGCAGAAACTGGAATCTGCATTTCCTGGAACGCCCTGGAACCCCACTTTGCTGGCTGGTAATTGTCTGCCCAGCAGGTAAGGGCAATGCTCACCCACCAATGTTTACTCATTACTTACTGAGGCACAAGGTAGGGTTCCCAGAGCTCATTTCTGCACTTCTCGGTGCCCTGGATGCTGCCTGTCCTTTTCTTTCCACGTTCTCCTTGCCTCCAGCCTTTCCCTGCTGTGTTCTCCTTGCCCTTGGCTTTTCCTGCTGTGTTCTCTTGCCCTCCTGTTTTGGCGATACCTGTGGCATTCTCTTGGCCATTTGCCCTTGGCCACCTTCGCTGCGTTCTCTTTGGCCTTCGGTTTTGGCCATCTGTGCCACATTCCCTTGGCCTTTGTGCTTGGCCTTCTTTGCCACGTTCCCTTTGCCTCCCGTTCTGGCGTTCCCTTACAACATTATTTTGGCCTTCAGTTCTGGCATTTGTGGCTGCGTTCTCTTTGGCCATTGCCCTTGGCCATCTTTGCCACATTCCCTTTGGCCTCCTGTTCTGGCGTTCCCTGCAGCGTTCTCTTTGGCCTTTGGTTTTGGCGTCCCCTTCCACGTTCTCTTTTGCCATTGCTCCTGGCCTTCTTTGCCACATTCCCTTTGGCCTCTTGTTTTGTCTTCTCCTACAGCATTCTCTTTGCCTTTGGTTTTGGCCTTCTGTGCCGCATTCTCTTTGGCCATTGCCCTTGACCTTCTGCATCAGCCTTCCCTGCAGCGTTCTCACGGACCTCGCCCTCCATTTTGGCCTTCTGCGTTGATCTCTTTGGTCTCTGTTCTGGTGTTCTCTGCAGCCTTCTCCTTGGGCCTGACCTCTGATGTGACTTTTGGCATTCTCCAAGCCTTTCCCATCCCTTTGCCTTTGCCCTCTGTTTTGGCATTCCCTCGGCTGTTCTCCTTGCCTTTTGCTCCTGCCTTTGCCTCGGCCTTCCCTAACGGTCACTCTAACCCTAATCCTGATGTACCTAACCCTAACACCTTTCCTGTTAAATACTCCTAAGCTTACTCTGAAGCCCTTTCTTGGAGCGGTGTTTGGCTTCCACATTTTGTGGGGGTGGGCTGACGGTGAGCACAGTTTGGGTCTCAGCGTTCCTCCTTCTAAAGCATGTCTCTGTATTACAGGTGAAGATGCCTTTGACGCTTCCAGTCGATGACTTCCCCCCAGTGATGCCATTGGCTTTCCTGGCCTCCCACAGTCACCGCCAGCTCAGTTCAGTTGAGCCGTTACCCAAATCCCCACTCCGTTCCCTTTCCATGATCTTCCTGTCACTCTGCCACAAGCCCCCACCAAGGTCATGGCAGGCAACGTGTGGGATGCAGCACTCGGTCTCATTGCAGTTCATCCCATCAGCTTCAGCCCAGCGATCCAACCCACCCGCACCCTTCCTGAGGGCCCTTCTGCTCCCAGGCCAATCAACGCTTCCTTCTGATGCCATCTGCGTTCCTTCCTGGCCACTTTCAGACTCATGCCCCTTTGTGGCCATTTTGAGAGTTGCGCTGATTTCAGCGTCTGCATTCAATTGACTTCAACCAAATTGGCTTTAGCTTTACATTCACTTAATGTAAACCAAATTGGCTTTAGCTTT